CTCTTCACCCACCAACTTCAGGGGGGTCTCCCTTCTGTCTCCTCATCTGCCTTTCACAGAGGGGCTTTAACTCAACCCATCACACAAGTCAGTTCTGACTTCCAGCTCACACCAGTCTGCCTGAACTGGGGCCTTATTGTTTGTTTTTTTTATAGAATAAGTCAGTATCCTCAGCCTGGTAAAAAATCACCAGTTTCCTTTTCAAGGTATCGAGCCAGCAGCTCGTAGCTGCTCCGAGCACTCTGCCCCCCAAACCCAAGGTCCTCTCTTTTCCAAACAGAGGGTCACTGCTGCTGCGACAAAGCAGTGTCATTTCCAAACTCAATTCCTGCTTTCCAGTAGGTCAAGCACAAGCAGCTCATCACAGAAAAAAAAATAAACTAAACCAACTTACAGCAAATATTTTTCCTTATACGTGAATAGGACAAGCTCCAGAGGCCACCCTTAGCGTGATGCCAGTGCAAAACTTGCAGCAATTTAGATTATTTACTCCAGGAGCTGAAAACTCTTCAGCTCTTGCTGGAAACAACCCTGAGCCGTCGCCACCGAATTGGTGCAGGATGCTCTGTGCCCCCTCCCTGACTCAGCCCCCCCCGGCAGCTCCAGGTGGGAGGTTTCTAAAGCTGCAAGTGTAAAAAACAAGGTAGATTTGGGAACTCCTGTCCCACTTGAAGCTTTTCTGGGATATTCAAAACCCAAGCAGAGGAGGGTGTTTGTGAATGCAGCCTTAGCAGTAGTCAGAAAAGCGAGTAAAATCCAATTTTGCGTGATCGAAAAAACTACATTTGTGTTAATTTGTTCTCTCTAGCCTGCTTTTGGTGAGCAAAATTAACTCCTGCATCCTCACAAAACCCTTCCTTTTTATTTTATATATTCCCAAATATCCTCTCTGCAGCACTAAGACTGGAGCTACAGCTCGATACAACACGCAATTGCTGCTCCAGTGCCACTCGCTTGATTTTTTTTTAGTTTTTTCCCCCCGTTCTTTCTTCTAAAAATCTTAAGGTTTTGGGTCAGCAAAAGCCAGGCAGTGACCCGGGTCCCCTTCTGCTGCTCTGCCACCACGCGGCGGTGCTGGAAAACAGGCCTGAACAGCCAAAAAAAACCCAAATTCCAGGCAGTCTCAGGTTCACAGAAAACGTTGTGGGGAAAGAAACCCACCTTCCTGCTCTCCTGGAGTAAGGATTTTAGGGCGCCGATGGGAGATGCTGTAACCAAGACACTCTGTTTAGTTTCTGAAACAAAATATGCCTGAAAAGCCCCCCAAAAAAGGTCTCTGAAGTGTCACATTATGTATTTTTGCAGTGGGGTATTTCTAAATCACAGCATCTTAGGTCTTTGCAATCAAAAATGAACCTCAACAAAGAGCCACTATAAGAAAAACACATAAAAATCACTTACCTTTTTGTTCTCTCTCATCTGTGTCACCGGGTGATGGTTTGGGAAAACTGAGTATTTAATAATAAAGGTTCTCATGCTTTGTACAGGTAGTTTGGAGGCGTTTTGTGCTGGCATGGGTTTGTCTTTGTAATTTTTACTTTGTATTTTCTTCTCTTTTTTGGGGGGCAAATAAATGATTTTGGAATTCCACAATTAAACCCTGTCTGGCAGTGCGGGGGTAGAGCGTTACTGTTCACTTCAGCTCCTCTCCCAAAATCACCTTCCCTGGCTGCTGCTGAGCTCACGCCATCCCCTTACCCATCAGCAAACCTGCCAAAGCCAAAATCCCAGGTTTTCTGCTCAAAAATGCCAGGGAAGAGAAGCAATCCTTCTGCTTACCTTCCTCACCACGGAGCACCGCCCCTGCGCTGGCTGACCAAAACTCCCTCCTTTTAACCCATCCTGCAATAAAAAAACCACCAAAAACCACATCTCCCAGATATTCTGCAGGTGGAATGAAGAAAAAAAAATTAAAAAAGGGAAGGAAAAGTAGTGCCTTTTCTGATTTAGTTCTGGGCAAATGCTGAAGCAGGATTGCTACGTTCTTGTGTTGCTTGGTCTCAGATTGAGGGGTCAGCGTTCCCCCATGTGCCAAAATCTGTAGAGCTCTGCCACCTTTTGGGGGGGAACCTCTGGCTTTCTGCAAAACTCCAGACCCCCTTCAATGTGAAAAATTAAATAGTTCAGACCAAAGATGCGCTTGCGATGTCAGCACCGCTTTAAATAGCATTTAAATAGCATTCTGTACCTTGCAGAGCGCGTCTCCCCAGCCGTGCCGTGCTTAGAACACACAGAGCTGCTCTTAATTTTATCATTTCACCCCTCAGAAAGTTAGTTAACCAAAGTTATTTTTTTATAAATGTAATTTGTATAAAAATTAAATTCCTAACAAATGCCGGGGGGCATGTGCTTCTTGCATACAGTAAAAAAAAGATGCTTTTGTTCTGGGCGACGCCAGAACCTTTGCAGGATTTGTGCTGTGCCACATCCACAGGAGCTTTTTCTTGGAAGCCCATGGAAGTTTCACTGAAGCGGCGACTCCTCGTTGGGCAGAAGCTCCTGCCCTGGAAAACTGGCTTTTTGGGGATTATTTCAGGCCGCTGCCACCTTGGGATGAGTCTGCAGGGAGAGTCTGCACGACCCAGGGAGCAAGAGCATCACCGGGGCGAAGGAACTGCCGGGAGAGCAGCACCCTCAGCGTGACCCAAACGCTCCTTTCCAGGTGTGTTCCTGCCCCTCCTCTCCCTCCAGGACTTAATCCCAACCAGCCATTTCCCTGGAAAGAGCCAGTTCTGCTCAAAGCGAAACATTACACCTCTTCTTTCTTCAAAGAGCATCTTCTGCCATCAAAAGCCCACCCCTTCCAGCAGGAGCTCAGGAAGATTCCCCCCACAAAACAACGTGATGAAGAAAGGGGAGATATAAAACTCCCTAGAAAACTTCCCTCCTGCTGACGCCAGGGATGGAGCTAAAACTGATCCCCGTGGGCTGCGTGGACGGAGCTTTCACTCCACTCTCTGACCAGTCCAACCAGTCCCAGAAGAGAGGGCTGCTCCTGGAAACCTGAACCCCTTTCCAATTAGAACCGCTGCAATTATCCTCAGCACCATCCCCATCATCCTCACCATCGCTCGGCTCCTTCCACAACAGCTAGCCAGGAGGTTGAGGAAACCAAAAACCAAGCCAACCCTAATTTAAACAATTAAGAGAATTAGTCATCGAGGGACTAAGTAGTATTTAGAGAGTAAGTTCAACATATGCCACACTGATGCCCTCAGCAGTTGCAAAATAGAATTAGAAAACTAACATTTATTAAATCAATTTGAATTTTAATATACATTTCAAGAACGTGGCAGCATAAAAGGAAATGTTTGTAGAAACAACCTGAATCTCCCATTTTGCAGTTTTACACGGAGGGGCAGAGGGCTCCCCTGCCCACAGTTCCCAAACACACGCTTGACCTAAATTCTCCGCCTTTTGGTACCGTTTTTTTTTGATGCAGCAGCGAAATAGTAAAGATTCCAAGTACTCCCGGGTTTCTGGAGCAAAGGTACTGTGTATTTAATTTAATGAAAGTCCTAACAAATGTAACCATCAAACAATCTCGGCAAAACTTAACAGCTCTGCAAAAAAAAAGCATTCCCAAACAACCCGTGCTGTGCGGTTCGCTCCCCCTCAGTCACACGCTCCCGTTCGGCCACTTCTCTTACACGTAGCGGACTAAGAAAAAACAGATTTTACACATTAGTAGGTCACCATCAAACCACCAGATTAGAAAACGGTAGAATCCTTTCGGGTCAACACAAAAATCACATACAAGTTTAACTAAATACATTTTAATAGGACATCGTTAAATCTCAGGAGGGCTAAAAAACACAGATCTCAGGTACTTGGGTTGGCAAATAAAGACAAGAATACTAAGAAGCATTTTCCACCATTTACTCATTATCAAAAATATTTTTCAACTCTTCTTGCAAAACAAAAACAAAAAAAAAAAAAGTACAGACTGGACACGTACATCACATTTTTTTTTTCTTCCTATGGCTTTAACCCCCCACCCTACCCACCCCACAAAAAAGACGGGGGGAGAAACAAACCAAAACCAACAAAAAAAAAAAAAAAAAAAAAAAGAGAGATCCGACCACATTCACAGGAAATGACACCAACGGTTACACTACGAAAACAGAAGGAGGTGTCATTTGTGTCCGAAGGATTTTTGCTTATTTCTTAGGTGAGGAACCATCATTGTACATGCTTTGTGCCAAATCAAAATACACCACACACCTGAGGGCAGGGGTGCCCAACGCGCCGCCACCGGCTCCGTGGGATGAATAAAAGGAAAAGATGGAAGTGGTAAAGTAACTCCAACAAAAATTAAGATAGTTCACATACTATTTAACATGCTGTTGGAACAGGAACTGCCTTTTAAATGAGAAGGTGATGGTTTGGGTTCTGGTCAGCCCATGTTTCATTTGTGCCCTGTCCTTCAAAGAGGAGAAATTCCCACTCTCATGAAGTAACACCAATTTTTTAGGCTGCCAATGAAGCCCTAAATGCAAGTCTAAGTTCTTCCACTTGTATCTTATTTAGGGATTGCATGGAAATAAACCATTTTTTGCATAAAGCTTTAAATTTACCGCTGTCTGAGACAAGCTCTTTGACAACTTTGTGTCACTTTTCCATTTTAGAGCCCTTGAGCCCAGGTTGAAAAGCGCTGACCCTCGAAAAGCTACTTCCAACACTGCTAGTGAAAAACGAGACAGATTCGGGGTGGAGTGAGATGTTTGGCTTGTTCTGTCTAAGAAACATCTGGAATATTTGAGCTTCGATAGCAATCCATCCTCTGCCCTGGCTGAAAGATGCCCATCGGGGAAGAGCCACCCTCCAGGGGTTGGGTCCCGGGTACAAAACTTAATAAAACAAGGTGATAATTGCTGTGGAAGTCTCTGGGTATCCTGGGCACTGATCAGCAGGAGGAGAGGAGGGAATAAATCAGCCAAGGAGTGAGTCTCTGGAACCCACAAACCCATCTCTTTTCTAGAAGCAACAGAAGGAAAATCAGCTGATAATTGCTGTGGAAGTCTCTGGGTATCCCGGGCACTGATCAGCAGGAGGCAGGGAGGGAATAAATCACCCAAGGAGTCTCTCTCTGGAACAAACCCCTCTCAGACAGAAGGAAAATCAGTAGGAACTCAAAAAAAAAAAAAAAAAAAAGAAGGGGTTGAAAAAAAGATGAGAATGGCACTAAGAAAATTTGAGCCTTCTTTGCCTACAAGGAATTTTCTCACCCCAAAGTCAGTGATGGGTCAAAGAGAGCAGGCACCGAGGGCACAACGGATCAGAAACGGGACCAGGGGGAAGGGGATTGTCAAGAAAACAAAAAGATGAGTTCTGGAGCAGGGATGATGTGCCCGAGCGAGCAGTTCCATGGTCTTGTCCACCCACTGATCGTCCCGACCCCCGGCTGGAGACTCGGCTGCTTTCTGGTTGTCTCAACGTATCTACTGATCTGGTTTTATTTCTTTTTAAACTATTCCATGAGCAGATAACCCATTCTCTCCATCCCAAGTGACCTACCCGTTCCAGACTCCATTCTCCAGCTCAAGGCTCTGCGTTTCCTACAGGAATATGAGGCTATTTTCTGGCAACGGTGACTGGACCTGATGGATAATTACTCTTCTGCCCCATCATGGAGCACAGTTGGGATGGACTAACTAGATACCACTTTTCTACATTTAAGCAGAAGCTTTGACTGAGCACAAAGCATGACCGAGTACAATGAGGTTAATATATTTCCTTGCCAAAGATCTTGTGAGAAAATCATTTACATTAGCAATTGATCTCAAAACTATGAGGTGCTGTAAGAACTAAAAAAAAAAAAACCAACCAAAAAACCAAAAAAAAAACCAACCAGTTTTAGGGTAACTCCTCCATTATCTGCAACTATTTCCCAGACACTAATACACATAACATAGCAATGAAAAACACTTGATACAAGTGATCTAAACGCAGGAGCTCCAGCAAGTTAAACAGAACCATAGCTGCCGTAAAACTGTAGCAGTTCCCCTACGCAGGGCAGGGAAAAAAAACCAAAAAAAAAAGAAAAAAAAACCAAAAAAAAAAAAAAAAGAAAAGAAAAGATATTCAACAGTCGTATCTCATGTCTATAGCTTCATCCAAACTTTTCTCGTCGTGTGTACTGGCAGCTAAAAACGTCGTTACTGGTGACCCTGTCACATTGATTACACTGGTGCTCGTGCTGGCATTGCGCACCGCAATGCTCGTCACGTTAATGCCCAAAGTAAGCCGAGTCTGCTCCAAGGCCTTTTCCGGCACCGCAAACGCCTCCAGCTTCTTCTCCCCGTTAGCCATGTAGGAGTTTTGGCAGCCGCGGCATATGCAGTCAAGGCAGGCTTTGCGGTTAGAATAGCAAGGGCAGCGTTGGCCACGGCATGTAAGAACACTTGGATTTTGGGTGGCACGACCACATTTACACCCTTTCTTTTCTTGGGGCTTTTTATACACAGTTTTTGTCGGGCTTCCCGGCATAACGTTACTGCTCGGAACTTTCTCTTTTGCTTTGTCTTTTGTTTTCAGCACCCCGGGTTTGGCTTTCGGGTGAGATTTCTTAGGGGGATGGTCTAAATTCTTTTTCATGCTTTTGTTAGAGAGGAGCACAGTTTTACTGATTTTGGGAGTCGTGCCTCCGTTGGGTACGGTGGCGATAGGCTGCAAGGACATTTTATTTTCCTGTTTCACTGTCACCGGGGCCGATGCCCCCAGCGTCGGGCCGCAGATGATGCTGGAAATGGGTAGAGGTTGAACCTTTTCGCTGTCGCTTTCGGATCGAGACCGCTTTCTGTTTAACTTAACTACCTTGGGCGTGGCCGCCGTACAGGAGATTCCGTGGGGAGAAGCATCCGTGGACATGAAAATGTTATGGCTAAGAGGTGGGGGAGAAAGCTGCAGGAAAGGGCCGTTAGTCATGTTTGCCTCCAGGCCGGGCTGCAAATTCGAATCGCAGACTTCAGTGTTGGAAACGGTCTCCAAGCTGCGGAGAACCTCCTCCACGCTGAGGAGCAGCGAGCCCCCCGGTTTGATGTCTTCGCTGAAGCTGCAGATGTCGATGCCCGTCGTACACAAGTCGCTGGTGGAAACCGCGTCGCACACGGGCTGCAGGCTGCCGGAGAGGTCTTCCGTTTTGATGTACTCTCCGGTGCTGCAGACATCGATGGTGTTTGCGTGCTCAGGAGAAGGAATATTGACTCCCAGTTTATCGACCGAAAGCCCGTTACAATTGGGCAACCCGTTGATGACGGACCCTCTGATATCGATGTTGTGTGTGCTTTCGGGGAGCGACGTAAAACCAGCCGGAGGGTCGGTCGGGAGTTCGGAGGTTGAAGGTACCGGGGAATGTGTCAAACACAAAGCCAAGGCTGCCTCGGAAGGTTTTTCTGTCTCTTCGTGGAGTGGGGAGCCATCTTTGAGCAAAGCCAAAAGGTCTGCGGAACAATCAACCGCTTGGATGATGTCTCGCGCCAGCGGAGTCTGCGTTATGTACTCGCAGAGCTTCTTATAGCAGTTCACTAAGATGCTCAGCTGCTTGTTCTCCTCAAACTGTTCGTAGTCCTTGCACCAGCTACATGAGGGTTTCATCATCATCTTCTTGCCTTTACAACTTTTGCAGACATAATGCTGGCACGTGGAGTTGGTGGGAGCGATAGGGTCTTGTAGCAAATTCCCTGAGGAAAAAAAACAAAGAGAAGAGATTACAATGGACTCAAGGCAGGTTTCCACGTAACGTAGCATGAGTTTTTAGTACTATTTTAAAAAACTGCCTAAAAAAGTTCAGTAAGTCACAAGAAAACGCACCGTCCAAACAACAGCCTGTAAAAATTTTCACAGCTGCCAAATCTGGTTTTAAAACACTAAAAAAAAAATATTTAAAAAATGAGAAGACCACCATCACACCATAATTTATTGTGCAGCCTTTAGAAACACTCAACTAAACCCCCACCAACCCCCCTGTCCCCTTCAGCAGTTTCTGCCGTTGACACTTACGCAACACCCAAGATTTCTATGAATTCACCAAAAGCGCAACAATAAACCCCCACGAAGAGCTGCTGCAGAGATTTTAATGGAATTAGTGAAAATAAATGGCAAGGGAGCAGAAGGAAACTCTAAAAGGAATGCAAAAAATGATGAAATATCAACCCCAAAAGGAAAGAAGACACAGCAGACTTTGTTTTACTTTTCATTTAGCTGGGACTAAATATAGAGCCCAGCTTTGTGACAGTCAGTGCCATGAATAAAGCCCGACGTTTTTCAACTTTGCAAGCAACAAAACCAGCTAAATGGATCCCAGGAATTCTTATAAACGCTGAATAAAACAACTAGTAATAGATCTGACTAAAATTTAATAAAAACCAAACCCCAACTCTACCGCTCTCTGGTAGATCACTCTTATGCCAAACCAGAAGGTGCAACAAGGAACTTTTGCAGACATAATGCTGGCACGTGGAGTTGGTGGGAGCGATAGGGTCTTGTAGCAAATTCCCTGAGGAAAAAAAACAAAGAGAAGAGATTACAATGGACTCAAGGCAGGTTTCCACGTAACGTAGCATGAGTTTTTAGTACTATTTTAAAAAACTGCCTAAAAAAGTTCAGTAAGTCACAAGAAAACACACCGTCCAAACAACAGCCTGTAAAAATTTTCACAGCTGCCAAATCTGGTTTTAAAACACTAAAAAAAAAATATTTAAAAAATGAGAAGACCACCATCACACCATAATTTATTGTGCAGCCTTTAGAAACACTCAACTAAACCCCCACCAACCCCCCTGTCCCCTTCAGCAGTTTCTGCCGTTGACACTTACGCAACACCCAAGATTTCTATGAATTCACCAAAAGCGCAACAATAAACCCCCACGAAGAGCTGCTGCAGAGATTTTAATGGAATTAGTGAAAATAAATGGCAAGGGAGCAGAAGGAAACTCTAAAAGGAATGCAAAAAATGATGAAATATCAACCCCAAAAGGAAAGAAGACACAGCAGACTTTGTTTTACTTTTCATTTAGCTGGGACTAAATATAGAGCCCAGCTTTGTGACAGTCAGTGCCATGAATAAAGCCCGACGTTTTTCAACTTTGCAAGCAACAAAACCAGCTAAATGGATCCCAGGAATTCTTATAAACGCTGAATAAAACAACTAGTAATAGATCTGACTAAAATTTAATAAAAACCAAACCCCAACTCTACCGCTCTCTGGTAGATCACTCTTATGCCAAACCAGAAGGTGCAACAAGGAGACCATTAACTTCTCCTGAGGAGCAGTGGCTCCTGCTTGGCTATTTCTGGCCAGCTTTGGGCCAGAAAGATATTCCAACACCTACATGAAATTTCAGAGTATCTACAGTCATCTACAGCAACAGGCTTCCCCTCCTTTCCAAGAGCTTGGATCAGACCTTTCTCCCCAGGAGGAGCCTTTGTTGGGGGAGCTACAGCCATCGGTGAATTCTCACCTGGATTTTTCTGAAGTGAAAACGTGCTCTGACAAACAAATGAATAAAATTAAACAATTTGGGAAGAGAGAGTGAAGTGCACGTATTAAAACAGACTGAGTATTAAAAAAAAAGTATCAATTATAAAGATATTTTCTCTCATCACTCAAATGCCAAAGAAATGTTAGTGACATGGACCTTCCATAACCGGTTCTCTTTGAAGGGATGTAATTAACTGGAGGAGTTGAGTGGATGGAGTTATCAGCTGAGGAATAAACCCCAACCTTTCCACCCTCCGTTACCTCAGTGGAGAATCCAAGGCCTCAGGCAGAAGAGCAGGACGTACTATACTAACCTTGCACTTAAAATACGAAATTTGTCCCTCACTCTGGAGCCTCCGTCAAAATCTTCCCCCCTTTTTCCTAACCCAACCCTCCGTGCTCTTCATACTAGTGAAAATTCAACTTTTCACGTGTGTTTAAATAGGAAATCTGCTTCAGCACAGTAATTCTGCACCATGTGGATTCCCTGAGCGAGCAGACAATCCCGTTTTCCCTTGGAAATCCAAATTCCCTGGTGCCCCTCCAGGAAAGGGCTGCTCCAGCCCCTCCACCTCAGCTGTCTTTCAGTAGAAGTGGCCTCATTTTAACTGGCTTTTGAGCAACACACAAGAGCCAATGCTGTATTTTTTTAATAAATTGAGAGAAAACATAATTGCACAATTACAGCAATACTTGACAGGAAATGCCCTTCATGACCAAAGAGTAGATTTATTCCTTCTTTGCTGACCTAATGAGGAAGGGCAACTCCGCAAGAGCCCACCATGAGAAGACAACAGCAAAACACTCAAGCAGTGAAGATTGAAAGCCAACAAGTGGAACATGAAGTCACACAGTCCAACCAAGAGTGGAATTTGTTTTTCCTGTTAAAGTTCCCTTTAATGACATTAAACAGCAATGCAGGCAGAGATGTCCATCCCGGTCCCAAGACTGGATTTGATTTTGTGAGAAAAGTCCCACAGGGAAAACCAAAAGAAAGCTTTAAATCACACCTTGGCTGGTCCCAGACATCACATCCTTCAGCAGAAAGGAGTCACAAACCATCTGTTCCTTCTGGATCTTGAGGTTTTCCAACAGGACAGGCAGAAAGCCACGGGGAGACCAGTGCAGGAGGCAAACACACCTCATGCTCCTTCATGTAACGCTTTGAGACTTCAGAAACCAGCGTAAAACCACAGCATCCCCCAGGGCTTCCGGGACCAAAACCCCACCAGCAGTAATACCCAACCAAACAAAGCGCACGAGTGTGCTCCTCTGTCCATCTTCAGCCTCTTTTTGCTACTTACGATCATTAAATGTGAGTTATGATGATCAATGCTTTACAAAATACGAAGCACTGCAATACAGAGATGGAATCAAATAAATAGGATACCAATTTCACTTTTAATTAGATTTAAAAAAAAATAAAAATCATCACCAACTGTGTATTTTAATTCTCCCAAAAATAAATTCGGCTGAAGCTGTTCAATGAGTATGAATGCTAAAAGAAGATACTGAAAAATTTAAATTTCCAGAAGCTTTGAGGAAAAAAAAACCACCCCCAAAACCCCACAGACGGACAGACAAGACAAACCACTTTATATGTTCTTGCTGAAGGAAAGAACAGAGCGGGTTCTGCTCCCAGTAAATGCCAGGCAACCTACACGGGAGAGACCTCAGGAATGCCTGATGTGGGAATATTTGCAGCTTGAGCTCATATCTCATTGAATATTCATTCTTCAACATTTTTCTCTCATATGGATTCGGTGGCACCTACCACTCCCTCCAGCTTTAGGATCGTTAAACTAAAACAAGAGTCAACCACAAGCTGCAAATTCACAGAAAATTAAGCTCCATGACTTCTAATATTCAGGGAATGGTATGGAGTCAGCAGCACTGTCCCAGGAAGACAACACCCGAGCTGCTGCCCACAATCTGGAGGTACCAGACTCTGGGATGTTCCAAACTGCTGGACCATACAGATTAAGATTATGAACTCCACCATGAAAATAAAGCCAGGGATGATTCCATGATGATTCTATTGACCTATCTATCCTCAAACTCCTAAGAATAACCATGCCGAGTCAGACCACAGACCCATCTAGCCCAGTTGGCCATCTCACTAGTGGCCAAGAGCAGATGCTTAGGGCACAGAGTAAGAACAAGGCATGCAAACTCTTCATACTTGCCCAGCTTTTAACCATTATTAGCTGGGACACTTCTCATGGGAGAGGTGTTCCACAGACTCAGTAACCCTCAGATTCTCTCCTTAGGCTTTGCTTCATCTCCTCTTAAACTAGTTAAAACATCATCATCAGTTACAACAGGCTTTGAGAAGAAGTTCCCTGATCAACTATCTATCTTGCGGGAGGTTGTCCTCCCCCTCTGCTCTGCCCTGGTGAGGCCCCATCTGGAGCACTGGATCTAGTTCTGGGCTCCCCAGTTCCAGAAGGACAGGGAACTGCTGGAGAGGGGACAGCAAAAATGATACAAAAATGGTACAAAGATGATGAGGGGACTGGAGCATCTCTCTGATGAAGAAAGGCTGAAGGACTTGGGTGTTTTTAGTCTGGAGAAGACTGAGGGGGAATCTGATCAATGCCTATAAATCCTTAAAGGGTAGGTGTCAGGAGGATGGGGCTGGTCTTTTTTCAGTGGTGCCCAGGGACAGGACAAGAGGAAACGGGCACAAACTTGAACATAAGAAGTTCCAGTTCAACACGAGGAGGAACTTCTTTGCTGTGAGGGTGGCAGAGCCCTGGAAGAGGCTGCTCAGAGAGGTGGTGGAGTCTCCTTCTCTGGAGACATTCAAACCCCCCTGGACACGTTCCTGTGGGACCTGCTCTGGGTGGCCCTGCTCTGGCAGGGGGTTGAACTAGATGATCTCCAGAGGTCCCTTCCAACCCTGTAGCATTCTATGATTTGGTGCTGAAAATGACCTTTTTTGATTTGAACATTACTCTTCCTAGTTTTACTGGACAATCTCTGGTTCTTGTGTTGCATGACAGTCAATCCCTGTCCTCCCTTCCACACCACTTGTGGTTTTACAGACATCTACCACGTAACCCTCTAAGTTGTCTTTTTTCCGGACTGTACACAAGTTGTTCCTTACATTGGGTCACCCTTCTCCTAACCCTTCCACAGTTCTTTTTTGAGATGAGGGGACCACAACTGCCACTCCATAAGATATGGGTGAACC